AAGCCCCCAAACCCCCAAACCCCCAAACCCCCAAACCCCTAAACCCCTAAACCCCTAAACCCCTAAACCCCTAAGCCCTAAACCCCTAAACCGGAAGCCCAGGTAAGATGACGCCCTGGGAACCCTGGTCTGACTGTACGAAGACTTGTGCAGGATGCCTTGGGGGCTCTTGCTTTGGGGCGTTCGGGTTCCTTTGAGGTTTAGGGTTTAGGGTTTAGGGTTTAGGGTTTAGGGTGCCTTTAAGGGGTGCCTAAGAAGGGTGCCTTTAAGGGCTTCCATGGTAAGGGTGCCCCCTTAAAGGGTTCCCTTAAAGTGTTCCCTTAAAGGGTTCCGTTTAAGGGTACCTTTGAGGGCTCCTGTAATGGCGCCCTGAAGGGTTCCTTAAAGGGTTATCATCAGGTTCGTATAAGAGTTACTATTGGGGTTGCGATACCGGTTTTAGGGTTAAGGGTACAGGGACCATAAGGGGTTTACAAAGTAAGAAAGATGATGCCATGGGGTGTTGCTTTCAAGGTATGGGGTGTGGGGCCGTAAAGTGTTGCTGCGTGCTTAGGCTTCTTGTAAAGGTTACTACTTCAAGCTACTCTGAGGGTTGCTATTATTATAAGTGTCTTCGTCTTAGAGGGTTCTTTGGGGTCAGGGTGTAGGGTTTGATATATAGGACCTGAACCGGGTTTGGGGGGTTCTGGCATGTCATCGAGCGATGATCCTGGGACGATAAGGAGATATGATTGCTACTCATTGAGACAACGTATAGTAGAGGTTTTGGATTCGGGCTGTAGGATTTTGAGTCTGAGGGGTTTCGGGTTTCAGGTTGAGACTTCAGGACTTATGGTTTAAGGCGCTGGCTGGTGTTGTGATCAATACCAGCAATGTATTTCGAATGATGATTGTAGCATATTGTGGCTATTGTTGTGATTTCCAGTGTCGCTTTTGCAGAATCGCGACCACCGATATTGCTCGACATTAGTTGTGCGGTTAGCAACCTCAGGCCTAACATGCGCACTCCATCTATGACAACATGCAGTGCTCCAGAAGCCTCATCTCCTTCGCGTCTTCAGGAGGCCAGCAGTACCGAACGCGGGTGATCATCCGGCACCGCGCTCAGTTAAAGCTTCGGCTTCTCTCTCAATCAGTCCACGTAGCCCTCAAACCCAAACCTTGTACTACAGAGGTCTGAATAAGTACATATTATTCGTCAGGGTTCCTTATGATAAACCTACTATACTATACACCAAAGCGCTTTGCTGCTTATGGAGACCCCGATACGAATTACCCCTGAACCCTACACCCTACACCC